GGCTGCGGGGAGCTCGGGGGTGTGTGGGGAGGTGGGCGCTTCAGATGGGCTTCAGTCTTATGTGCAAGTGGGTCTCGCGGCAATATTCTGGTGGAAGGCGATGAGATCTAGCATGTAGAAACTGTGCTAGTTTATATTATATTGCTACATGTTCAATGTGAAATGTATATTGAAACTATACAAACTTTATACCAAAAATAAATTCCAGTTTCGCTCATACTTCAAAATATGTTGTAATTAATCTAGCGTTGTATAAACCAGACTAGTATTGCTACATGTTTGTATGAATACTATATCAAGATTATTCAGAACTTATACGGCTAATATATTCACAGACAACTAATATTGCTTGCGGTTGTAATTTACATTAAGACATCTACAAACAGGTTCTATTCTGTGAATAGTGTACTATACCATACGACCTCATTGTAACTCGTTGTAGCATATTATATAAAGCATATGATGTGTTATTTGGTTCTGTTCGATAATACCATGTTCTGCTGAAATTGCCGTACTATGCTAGAAGATACAGTGTGTATGTGTGTATATATATATATATACATTATATGAACATATGTGTATATATCCGCCGAGGCCGGAGGCCCCAGGCGTTTTGATCGGTGGGTTCGAGGAGTTTGGCTGGTTAACAGTAAAGTAACTCACCCCCTACGGAGTGGGGGGATCGGGCGCGGCTCTGGCTCTGCCCTCGAGCCTGGTCCTGGAGCCGTGCCTCGAGCTGCTCCCAGCCCGGCCTCTGAGCTCCTTGCCGGGGCCTGGGCCCTGCCCGATCCTGCCTGGAGCCTGGGCAGAGGCTGGGTTGCGGGAGGCTAGGCAGAGGCCTGGAACTGGAGGTCCAGGCTGCCTCCAGCGATGAGAAGAAAGTGCCATTGATGGAAGTGCACAGGTTGTTCAAGCCAAGACTTTGGCCCCAGGAGAAAATTACCTTGCCAACCGACAAGCATGAGTGACAGACAAATAAGATAGAACTTGTTTATCCCTCTGCTCACGATCTCGTCTGAGAGAGTAGGCAGCGAGATTGGGTGTCGGCTTTGGGCCAAGCAAAACTGTAGTAGGCGTTTGCCTGCAGGGAGCGCATACGCTCGTCTGTGATTGAAAAAGAGCGGGTGCCATCCTTGCTGCCGTTCCGGGCCGGCTGTGCCGCTATGCCTGATCACTGTGTGAACAGGACGCCGTTTGCAGCGGACCCTATAAGAAAGGCGTCAAAAGGACTAATCTGCCCGCGAAGTTGCAGACTAGTCGGCTGTGCCGCTCGTCACGCCCACTGTGTGGGCAGACTTACGCCTTGCCTCTTGCCTTACGAGCCAGGCCGCCAGGAGCCTTCTTGCCTAGTCGCTCGCCCTCGTACGTGTCCAAGACCTCCATGAGAAGCGTGGAGTACGGCATGAGCTCTGAGTACAGGGCAATGCGCAAGTCGAGTATGATGTGGGTCTTCTTGAGATTTGGCCTTGCCGAGCAATGCGTAACCACTCGAGTCAAAGAAGCATGCGATGCTGGATCAGATAGACGGGCAGCCAGGGCCATAAAGCCATTGTAGCGCTCGTTCGTCGAGCCACCCGAGCCAGTGTGTTGTGGCGGGGGTTGTCCCTTGGTTAACTCCGACAATAGGCTGGAGGCAACCGCGACGGAGCATGAACCCGCAGGGTGCGGTTGGCCTGGCTTGTGAGCCTTCTGCCAGCCCTTCACCGCCTTCTGCAAGACTTGTGACAAGCCGAGCTCGATTGGGAGCTTGCGCACCAGCGAAAGCTGATGCTGAAGTAAGTTGAACTGTTCGTCATGCACCAAGAAAGCGATGGTAAGCTCCAAGTTGTTCAAGGCTGTGATGCGCCGAGCGGCGCGCGTCTCACCTGACCCTCCTGCAGGAGGTGGGCCGGTTGGCGCCGCTGCTGCGAAAAGCGCCGCTTGCGAAGGCAGGGCCCAAGCTGCCTGGAGCCTAGAGGGCAGAAGGCGGAGGCAGACAGGGGCGGGGGCAGGGCAGGGCAGGGGCGGGAACAGGGGCAGGGCAGGGGCGGGTCAGGCGGGGCAGAGGCAGGGGCAGGGGGGAGCGGCTCACCAAGTTTGTTCTATTAAGATAGACATTAGGATACTCGAAAGTTAGCTCATGTGCCACGCTGCGCTTTGTGCCAATTCCAGTGGTTAGGGTTTAGGGTTCAGGGTTGGACAGCGGGTTAGGTTTTTTTCATTGCAATGGCTCTTTATTTGCAGTGCTCGCGCGATGCAGGTCTGGAGCCTTCCTCGGAAAGAAGCCTACGCCAAAAGAAGGCTTTCATTTGGGCCCAGGTCTCACTTTCAACTCACGACGACGAGCATGTTCATCATCATGTGCATGGCGACTACGACTTCTCTCTCGTGTTGCCCGGCACACCCCACGGAGACACAGTGGAGGCCAAGTTCAAGGTCGTCCGAAGCGGTGTTGAGGTTCCATTCAAGGCATCCACCCCCCCAAGTTGAAGTCGGCAGAGTGAATTGTCGATGGACCACTCGCACTGCACGAACTCCACGAAGAGCCGCAGTGCCGCTCCAAGCTGCGCCTGCCCGCACCTGGGCCGCGCTCGCTGCGGTGATCTCGCTGCGAGCTCGTCGAGCGCACTGCCACGGACAACCACGCAAGGCTTGTCCACGTTCGCGCTTCCAGCCTGCTGCTGCGGCGCGCCTTCTTCCAGCCTGCCAGCTCGGTCCGTCTGCGCCGACCCTCGCCGCCTGCACTAGACCGGGCCTGCGGCGACGCTCAAGCGCCTCCCTTAGCCGCGATCGAGCCGAGCCGGCTGCGCGGCGCGGCTTCGCTCCCACTCCTAGCCTCGACTACCGTTGCCGAGGCGGCCTCGCGTTAGCGATAAAATTACACAGGTCTGGATGGGTTATCAGCTACATTAAGATTGCCCTTGCGTGTTCCTGCGTGCACACCAAGTCTTCAAATCTTGTAAATAGTGGCAAACACAAGTCGCGTCTGCAGCAAGCAGTCAAGAGCAGGGGGTTTACATCTCCTGATCCTTGTGGTCCTCATACTGCCTTACTTTGAGCCATCCTCACTTAATCGCAGCGGAGTGTCGATGAGGTGCTGATACCCCATGAGGTGAGGCTCGAAGAAGACCTCAGCATCCAAGTGCAGTAACTCACCAGAGCTTACTAAGAGGAAACACACACACACACACACACACGCACACGCACACGCACACGCACACGCACACGCACACGCACACGCACACGCACACGCACACGCACGCACGCACACGCATGACGAAACTATCCGCAAGCACGCACAAAAGCAAACAAACCTAGCTGGCAATGTCATGCATGTCCACAGTTTTGCCGCGACGGCCGGCAGGTCTTCGGACGCTCTCTGGCCCGGCAGCGTCCCGCGCTGAAGTTCGTTGTGCAGCATCGACAAAAGTATGTCTGTATGTCTAAGTTCGTGTTTTAGACAGAAGGCTCAGCTCCTGCATGTCACTCCCCCTACCCGACAGTGGCACTCAGGATCTACGCAGGTAACATGAAACGCAATGCGGCGCACTGCCGAGATCAGCAACTGCGCGCAAAGAGCTGAGACATGATCAAAGCAGCGACTGCAGCAACAGATCGACCGGCATTGCTGGTCTGCAGCGTGCCATTGGCATCCGGGTCGCTACAGCCGATTTCAGTGCATGCCAGCTTCCCCTGTCCACAGCTGCAGCTGTTGCACCAGTTGCTGCCGGTGTCTTCTCCACTCCAGCCATCAGGCACTACTTCACCGCCTGTAAGCGTGCAATTTTCCAGCGTGCCATTGGCATCCTGGTCCATACAGCCGATGGCGGTGCAGGCTAGCATCCCCTGTCCACAGCTGCAGCTGTTGCACCAGTTGGTGCCGGTATCTTTGCCACTCCAGCCATCAGTCACTACTTCACCGCCCGTAAGCGTGCAATTGTCACCCACGGATGTAATGCCAACGCCACTGCAGTCCGAGCTATTCTTTGCACAAGCTGTGGAGTTCCAGTAGCAGCTGCAACCGCCGTCATTCATGGAGGGACACCGCGTTTCATTCCAGTTGCCACAAATAGCCGCCTCTGTGCTTAGCATCTGTACAGCTATCGCGACTAAGGCGCTGCATCGAAGCTCCATCTTTGTCGGATGGGGATAAACCCGATCCCTCCTACCTACGATGCAGAACAGGAAACAGGAGCCTAAGCCACAAAAGATGACAGGTGAGAAAACACCACTCAACCTCCACCATGAAAGCTACTGTCCGTGTGTCGCTGCAACTACAATTACTCCACGGATGCGTACTTGGAGTGCCGGTCTCTCGGTAATGTCCGAGCAAGAGCATATGATAAGGCTTGGAAGCATCATCGCTGCAGCCGTTCCGGCAGTCTGAGCCAACGGCCATGCCGTTGCGTGAGATTGTGGCCGGAGAAGCGACTTCCACATCCTCAGGAGATCCCAACATTTTGCCAAATTTCTGTTCGGTTCTGGCACGTGCAGTTACCTACCCCTCAAGCGAAGTTAAGCCGATCATTACGAGTGCAGCAGTGACCTTTGAGCTTGATGCCATGGGCTCGATGATGGTGCGCATGTTCGGGGACATAGCCTGGCTTGTTGAAGCTCCGAGGGCAAGCGGCGAAGCACGAAGCCGAAAACACTCTGACTGCTTGACGGAAGCGCTCACGGGGCCGTTCGATGCTTTCGCTAGTCTCTCTAGCTTGCAAAGATATCCACATGCGATGAATCGCGGGCTTACATGTGTCATCAAACCAAATCTACTGCTACACTATCTCGTGGGCACCGTACACTTTGCAAAGAACATGCAATCTGACAGGAACTGTCGTTTGAAGGTCACTGGCTGCACTGATTTCTGCACTGTCGTGAATTCCATTAAACCTGCCAGACAGTCAATGATCTCGCCACTGTTGAGGCATAGCTTTTTGTTCTCGTCCATAACAGTATTCCTGTGCAATTCCGTGCTGAAGGTGGCTGTGTCACGCAAATCAACTGAAACTCTTGCAACACCGTCGACATGTACCGCAGCACTTCCGGCTTTTCCAAGCCGCTCCACTTTGCAGGACAAGGCTCATGTTTTCGATCCAGACAGCATCCACTGGGCCATCGAACACCAGCCACTTTCTCTCCTCGCGCCAGGTCTACAGCACATCAGGAATCTAGGCTCCATAGACTGATGAGGCACCAATGCTCCCCTTGGCGGTGTCTGGCAGCCCACAAAAAATGCCCCCATCAAAAAGGTTCTTGACTCCTGACACAGGGTAAATACCTCATGTCCCTGTGTTGGCGTGTTCGGTTACGGCTACACATGTAGCAAGCTTGAGTGCATCTGGGATGCTCTCGAGCCCTGCTAGCAGAAGCAAAGACATGGTACCAGTGCTTAATGGTACTTAACCCGGTACTTAGACAGGTATGGGGATTGCACTGTTGGGATCCTACATCCTCTCGGTGTCAGTTCTGCCAGGTTGCACCTCAAATCCTACGCTGCTCCAATGAGATCCCTGTGGAACAGTTGTCTGCAGCACTGCACCTCCGTCTGATTTCGGGCGAATTCACGGAAAAGGACTGCCACGATGCCGTCCACCCACTCGCGAGAAACCTGTCATGACGAAGGAATTCACTATAGTGGCCTAAGCCCAACACACCAACACAGCTTCGCTCGAATGCAGCCTCCTCGAAGCAGCCGTAGAGATCCCGCGCCGGAATGGACTTCGGGTTCAGACGAGCCTGGCAGCTTCCACAAGTCCCCAAGACGAGTTGCCTCACAGAACTCTAAGACAGCTAACAGCTAGATCAGGCACCAATGACGCACCTCCAGAAAACCAAGTCATTTCTTCCAAATGAATATTGGTGTGCTTAAGGGTTGAAGTCTTCATGTGCATCCTTTGATGTGAGCACGAGCCACTTCCGGCTTGCAACCTCTGCTGCACAACAGAACGAGCATATCACATCATAGCTCTGCGCACCGGCGCCTGGTGAACGACGCATCCGGCATGCATGAGGCCCTCCTGCATCTATGCGAAAGCAGCGCATGCTCACCCCCTGAAATTGCAGTACGATAGGCATGCCCCGTCGAACTCATTCCTACTCACTCTCGCCACAATGCGTCTGGAAGAGCTCTGACAAACGGTCCGTGTGCTGATTGGCTGAATTGCACCAGTATCGGCTCGCGTCTTCACAGTCTTTGCATGCCGGCAGCGGAGGCGACCCTGGGGTTTGCCAAGGGACCCTCAGAAGCTTCTTTCACCTGGCCCGGAAGGGCTGTCCTGCGCCAAGTCGGTCAGAGCCTTCTGAAGGGTCTTCAGCGCCGTGGTCTTGCCACTGAACGGCATCCCGACCAGCATCACGCTGTGCCTGGGCCCAGATCCAGTTTGTCAAAGGCTGTCCAAACTCAGTGCAAACCTCCTGCGGCGTCTGCGACGGCTCCACACTGCCTGATGGGAAGGGATGAAGCCTCCTTGCTATCGCAGTCCGAGCTATACCTCACCATCCGAACCCGAGTCCTGAAGTAGCGAGCAATCCTGAAGGCCCCAGACCGGACGAGGTGGCACTCGTAGAATTGGATGATCTTGTCAATGAAGTAGGGATGGGCCTGAGCGAGTTCAAGCGGATCTTCCATGGAATCGAGCTTGGGACCCAGGGCTGGCGCCGGCACATGGCTTTGGGGTCAAAGGGGAAACGGTTTCAGAGGAATCTTAAGACCCTATGCAGATGATAAGCCCTAAAGCGGTGCTGCACAGAACTCCTGGGCCCACTACCTGGCAGTGTGTGCTGTCCAGATTCAGCGTGAGCTTGCCGACCTTGCGCTTGGCGCGCTGGCTTTTCAGCACGTGAAGAAGGGGTGGGAAGCACCCAGTTGACCTACTCTCTGGAACCACCGGAGGCAGATTGCACTCCAGAATCTCGCAACATCTCGCAACTGGGGCTCAGGCCATCATGGAGTAATCAGGCTTGGGGAGATCCCTGGCACGTGAGGTGTGAGAAGGATGCATTAGCCTCTTGCATTTCGTAGGATGTGCGGCAGGGCTTCAGCACATGGCTACGGAACCCGGGTTTCGGGGAAGTTGTGGCGCTGACGACTTTAGCCCACTATCAGCTAGCAAGGGCCCTTTCCGAGAGTATCCGATGGCCTCTTTCCTGCAGCAGGAGGTCAACTCCGACAGAACGTAAGCACGGACAGGACTTTGTATCTGCGGCTAGCAAACCACCTTCGATGAAAACTAAGAGCATGAGCGACGACTTGATCTACTCCAACTGAGGACCGGACACGCCCGGGAACAAGTCCCTTGTGATACCGTTGTATAGTGGCACCTTCGACCAAGTTACAAAAAAACACATTTGAGGATCAGCCAAGTCTCCTGCCAGCTCTCACTCACCAAAAGCCACAAGCCGGACCGGCATAGTTCTGGCCAAGGGGCATCGAAGTCTAAGAACTTGGCAAGGTTCACGTCATTCACAGACTGCAGCATGAGCACGCTCCTTGCTCGTAGCTGCTGACAACATTCTGGAGATGGGATTTGAGGGCTGCGGAATCTAGTGGCACGGCCACACTGTGAGGGTCTTGAGACCGGCTGGTGCCTCTAATGCATCTTCTGCGTAGCCACTCAAGTTGAAGATCCGTGCAGACAGAGGATGCAGAAAATGGCTGCTACAGCCGGTACAGTATCAGTCGCAAAGACACAAAGCATATGACCAAAACCCACTATGTCTAGATATGTGAACTCTCAACCAGCCCGCCCACGACTCAGTCTCAAGGCTGCAGCATCCTACGAGGAGTGGCTAGAGCCCCGAGAATCAACAGCTCCCATTCACAGCAGCATTTTTTCCAGCCGAAGATGCAGCCCTCCTCGTGTGAGAGCCCAGGTACAAACCAAAGCTTGATTTTGAAGAGTGTTTACAAACACCTGCCCTCTTCGGCTCTTATGTTTGCTGAGGATACTACCAGCGGACATCGAAAAAATCCCATAACAACGAAAACGCTGGACGGACGGACGGACGGACGGACGGACGGACGGACGGAGGGACTGACGGACGGAGGGACTGACGGACGGAGGGAGGGAGGGAGGGAGGGAGGGACGGAGGGACAAACGGAGGATGGGAGGGACGGGACGAACGGACGGACGGATGGAAGGCCGGCCGGCCGGGCGACGGACGGCTTTCAATGTCCGATACAGGGAGAGGGTTGGAACCAACATGTCTTTCGATGTCACGAAACGTTTTTAGATGTTATCTTTTGATATTATAGAAATTTGTTCGATGTTCGGGAATCTTTTTTGGACGTCCGGGCGAGCAACCCCACCCTGCTGACCTCATCAAGCATTGTGTCCTTCGCAACAGCGTCTAACACCGGGCTCTGAACTTGAGGACATGATTTGGTGATGAAGATTGACACGGGGTGGTCCGAGCAATTCAGGCAGGAGCCAACAAGAAGAACCAAATCCTCATCTCTCCTAAACTCTCGACAAAGCTGAAAGGGGGCTTTTACAAAAAGGGGCCTTTTCGGGATTCAGGTTGGTCGACAACTAAAACAGGGTTGGTGAAATCGGACGTCTACCGGCAGAAGGTCAGGACGATCGAGGTGGCTTCGCAAGGGGGACGTTCT